TGCTGCTTCCATCCATGAGTGTTGATGGTGGATCCAAGGAAAATTAAGTTTTGACAACTTCAATCTTTTCTCCATTTATCATGATGTTATTTGTTAGTCCAGAGTTGAGGATTTTTGTTTTCTTTACAATGAGATGCAACCCATACCGAAGGCTGTGGTCTTTGATCTTCATCAGTAAGTATTGTAAGTCCTCTTTGCTATCAGCAAGCAAGGCTGTATCATCTGCATATCACAAGTTGTTAACGAGTCTTCTTCAAATTCTGATGCCACGTCCTTCTTCATAAAATTCACCTTCTGGAATTATTTGCTCAGCATCCAGACTGAGAAAGTATGGTGAAAGAATCCAGCCCCGGCACACACATTCCTAATTTTAAATGAGTCAGTGTTCCCTTGTCCTGTTTCAACAACTGTCTCGTGGTCTATGTACAGGTTCCTCATGAGCACAATTAAGTGTTCTTGAATACTCATTCTCTACCATGTTGACCAGAGCTTGTCATGAGCCACACATTTGAAAGCCTTTGAATAGTCAATAAAGCACAGGTAAACATCTTTCTGGGATTCACTGCTTTCAGCCAAGATCCATGTGACGTCAGCCATGATAGTCCTGGTTCCAGGTCCCTGTCTGAACCTGGTCAGATCTTCTGGCAGCATCCTTGACTGTCAATATACTGTTTCAGCCATTTGTGGATTATCGTTAGCAAAAGTTTACATGTATGATCAATGACACTGTCCAATGATTTCGGCATTCCATTGGGTAACCTCTTTGGAATGAGCACAAATACAGGTCTCTTCTAATCAGCTGGCCTGGTAGCTGTCTTCCAATTTTCTTGTAGAAGAATGAGTGCCTCCAATGTTGCGTTAGTTTGTGGAAAGATTTCCATTTGTATTCCATCAATTTCATTTGGTGTCTTCCAACAATTTATGTTGTTAAAAAAAGATATTTGCAGTGAAGAAATCATTGGTCTTACAGAATTCTATCATGTGATCCCCAGCATGGTTTCTATCACCAAGGCCATAGTTTCAAACCACTGATCCTTCCTCTGTTTCCAACCTTTGCCAGTAATTATCAATACATCTTGATTGCATGTCTGATCAATTTTAGACTGAAGAAGATGGTAGAATCTGTCAATTTCATCCTCACTGGCTTCAGTGGTTGGTGTGTAAATTTGAATTAAACTGGTATTAACTGGGCTTCCCTGTAGGTGTACGGACATTATCCTATCACAGTGGACAGATCTTGATATGCTCTTTTTGATGATGAATGGGATGCTATTTCTCTTCAGATTGTCATTCCCAACATGGTAAACCATATGATTCTCTGATTCAAAATTGCTCAATATCAGCCCAGGTCGGCGGTTCATATGTCCCAGCTGCTCCTCAGAAACCCTACAGTGGGTCACTATGAGTCAGAACTGACTCGACGGCACCTAACAACAACAATGCATACAATATCAATCTTTTTGTGTTCCGTTTCATGTTTCACAGCTTCCAATTTTTGTAGATCCATACTTTGTACATTCCACGTTCTGATTATTCATGGATGTTTGCAGCTGTGCAGAATGTTTCTCTTTGTTTTGAATTGTGCCCCATCAGCAGATGATGGCCCCGAGACCTTTCCTCCATCCATGTCATTAAGGTTGACGACTTCTCGAGAGCAACTCTTCCCAGTTGAATTTTGAGTTTGTAACAGCACTGCATCTAATCCACCACTCGTGTTTCAGTTTCTTGACCTGGGATTCTGGAAGCTGTGCTGTGGATCTTTAAGTACCAGCAGGGTCACCCATCGTGGACAGGTTTCAGCTCAGCTTCCACACTAAGACTATGAAGGACGGACAGTCTACTTATAAATGGGTAGCCACTGAAAACCTTATGACTAGCGGTGGAACACTCTCAGATCGCTCCAGGATATTGAATACTGAAACATAATGAAAGGCACACTGTCCGATATAGAGCCGGAAGATGAGCCCTTCAGCTGGGAAGGGACTCTAAATACAACTGGGGAACAGCTTCCTCCTCAAGTAGAGTTAGCCGTGACGGCGCAAATGGAGTCAAGCTTTAGGGACCTTAACTTGCTGATGGGGCACAACTAAAAATGAAGAGAAACAGCTGTAAACATCCATTCATATTTACAACAAGGAAAGTACATGGTGTGAATCTAGGGAAGCTGGAAGTTGTCAAAATGAAACGGAACACACAGACATCGATATCCTCGGCATCAGTGAGCTCACAAGGACTGGTATTGGCCATTTTCAATCTGTGCAAAATACTGAATGATGCTGGAAACATCAAAAGAAGGACCACACAGTTAAAGAATTGGCTGATGTTCAACACTTTGATAGGTACCATATAATCCAGAACCCATGGTTCTGAGGGAAGACGTCCGGGCAGCACTGATGGCATTGGCAAAAACCAAGGCTCCAGGAATTAACTGAATACAAACTGAAGAAATCTGGAAGCTGGCTACCTGGTCAACAGATTAGAAGAGATTCAGACTTCCGCCCACAGAAAAGGTGACCCAAGGGACTCTGGAAAGCATCACGCAATGTCATTAATATCACACCCAAGTACCGTTCTGCGGAAGCTAATTTAAAACTGGCTTCAGCAGTCCATTGACAGAGAATTGCCGGATTCAGAAGATGTGGAATGAGGTATACCACTGCCGATGTCCGATGGATCTTGGCTAAAAGCAGAGAATACCAGAAAGATGTTTACTTGTGCTTTATTGACTAGACAAAGGCTTTTTGACTGTGTGGGTCATAACACACTATGGATAGCACTGTGAAGAATGGGCATTCCAGAGCACGTAACTGCTCACGAGGAAGCTGCAAATCAATCCATAGGCTGAGCAAATCATCAGAGAAGCGAGATGGAATGAAGAAGAATGTGGCATCAGAATCGGAGACTGGCTCATTAACAACCTGTAATATGCGGACGACAACATTTTGCTTGGTGAAAGCAACGAGGAATTGACATACTGATGGATCAAAGAGCACAGCCTTCACTATGGATTACACCTAAATGTAAAGAAAATAAAAATTCTCACAACTGGACCAATAAATCACATCATGATAAAGATAGAAAAGGCTGAAGCTGTCAAACACTATTTTGCTCGGATTCACAGTTACTGGTCATGGAAGCAGCAGTCAGGAAATCAAAGCATGTACTGCATTAGGCCTATCTGCTGCTGAAGAGCAAAGAGGGCAGTTTGAGGACCAAGGCGCACCTAACCCCACCTCATCTGCATGGGAAAGTTGGACAGTGAATAAGAAATATGGTGGTGGCAGCTGGGTGTCAATGAGTCCATGATGACTCATAGTGGCCCTGTATGGTGTTTCTGAGGCTGTAAAACATTACAGGAAGAAAAAGCCTCATCTTCTCCCGAGGAGCAGCTGGTGGATTCCAACTGCTAAACTTGTGGTTAGCAAGTCACTCGCAACCCACTACACCAGGTGATACATTGTGTTAGGGGAGAACATAGAAAGTACCAAAAGAACAAACAAGTCTGCCTTGGTAGGAGTACAGCCAGAATGCTCCTGAGAAGCGAGGCTCTATCTAGATTGTTCTGTAATTAATCTACTCAGTCTATCCCCAATGAACTGTAATATAATCTACTCAGTCTA